GATTCCTTTCCGTATCCTGCGGTAGTTGGTCGGTTCGTTCGTTGTAAAATTGTAAACGTATAATTATAAAATTGTTCCACTATAAACAGTACTTAGTCAAGACAAAAAAAATACGTTCTTATTCATACGGTGGTTAACTTTGACATTTAAAAACACCATTCATAAGTTTAGTTTCTCAAATTCCGTCGAGGAAATTGATTTGTTTAACTTTGTTTTTGTAATTTTCATACCTAGCCGCTTGACAGGTTAATGCAACCTCAAGCAACCGCGCACACACCCAATTGAGAGCTACGGCATGCATTGTTTTTAAATTTCATCTTTTCTGATTCGTATACAAGTGTGTTTTCGTATTATCACAAATAAATTTAACTATGAAGACACACAAACACCGTAACATCTCTAAACGCTGAAAGAAATAACTATTTACATTACACCAGACACTTCAACAAATCTTACTATAAAAATACACTTCGAAAAAATAATAATAACAATTGGCATTCATCTGTCATTAGCCCAGATGTGCCTAATGTCCTATATTACAAGGATAACTTGTTATAACACGTCTGAACTTGTTTTACCTTAGTGTTGTAAACATATTTGCTAGTTAGCCGACTTTTAACCACGAAGGTGTTATTTGGTATGCGAAAGCGTAGTTTATGTTTCTGTGAGTTTATAAAGTGACTTCTTTTAGAAAATGTCGGAATATATGCCTCAATGTGATAAGTGTTTTGGAATGGAATATATTTTTTTAAATTTGTAGTAAAAATGTAGAGTGAATGTTAATTTCCATCACACTAAATTTAAAAATTCGTTAATATGACAGTAAAGATTACTGATCTACATATAGGTCATTAGCAATGCCTACAGCTACAATAATAGTAAAGTTAATCTTTTATGAAAATTTACTTTTATATTTTTGTGGTTTGTCTCTGTACATACACAGAATATTGAAATTTGACATTGCTTCTTCTAGATTAGTATTGGGTTACTTGTTTCCTTTCCTTCAAATACGTTTGTAACTTTTTATGTATATGTTTTTATGTACAATGCTTTGCTTTTTTCAATAAATTATTTTATTACTGATAGTTTTGCGTGTAATTTTTATTTAATAGGCTTCTCTCTTCATGATGGTGCATGATCGAAAATGACGAAATTGAAGCAGAGGAAACTGTTCTTTTACTTCCGAAAAACGCCTGCGATGATCTGACTGATGAATATTCTAGAGATTGAAATTGTCGACGTCAACAACCTACCTCATTCGTATATGCCTTCCAAAGTGCAAGTGACTTGTAAACCTAGACTTGATGAAGTCTGGGACTCTGAAGATGAGATTCCTCTTATCGAAATAAAAAACAAATCCTCACTTTTCGCCAAGAAGGAAAAAACACATGTATTTTTCAAGAAGAATAGGATACTTATCTTGAAGAGAATCCAGCTACATTGTTTTTCAAGATTTTTGACTATGATCTGAATTTCACTGTAAATGAAACCAACAGATATGCNACATTTAGTTCTGTATAGTACTTAAACTGTTTTCGAAAGTGGAACCAAAACAAAACTAATGTCGTTATACTAAGAAAGTTACGATTACCGTTTGCGAGCCATAAGACGAGCCGATGCCAGTTAATTCAGAAACGAGGAAGGATCCTACACGCGACCGACAGACACAGCGATACAGAAGGCAAACATGATGATCGCGTGTGCAAACCAGAGCAAACAATCGGTGCGGGCGAAGTTTGGAGAGGAGCCCGGTCGGGTCCCAGGAGGCCGGGATGGAATCAAGTCGGCTTTGAACAAAGCTAATTTTCAGTCGGAGGCAAAATGATTCAATTAAAAGGCAACGCTAGTGACGTATCGGCTACGGTAAACACAGTTAGCGCAAACTCTTCTGCAAACACATGCAGCGGGGAGCCAGCAGGATTCCTTTCCGTATCCTGCGGTAGTTGGTCGGTTCGTTCGTTGTAAAATTGTAAACGTATAATTATAAAATTGTTCCACTATAAACAGTACTTAGTCAAGACAAAAAAAATACGTTCTTATTCATACGGTGGTTAACTTTGACATTTAAAAACACCATTCATAAGTTTAGTTTCTCAAATTCCGTCGAGGAAATTGATTTGTTTAACTTTGTTTTTGTAATTTTCATACCTAGCCGCTTGACAGGTTAATGCAACCTCAAGCAACCGCGCACACACCCAATTGAGAGCTACGGCATGCATTGTTTTTAAATTTCATCTTTTCTGATTCGTATACAAGTGTGTTTTCGTATTATCACAAATAAATTTAACTATGAAGACACACAAACACCGTAACATCTCTAAACGCTGAAAGAAATAACTATTTACATTACACCAGACACTTCAACAAATCTTACTATAAAAATACACTTCGAAAAAATAATAATAACAATTGGCATTCATCTGTCATTAGCCCAGATGTGCCTAATGTCCTATATTACAAGGATAACTTGTTATAACACGTCTGAACTTGTTTTACCTTAGTGTTGTAAACATATTTGCTAGTTAGCCGACTTTTAACCACGAAGGTGTTATTTGGTATGCGAAAGCGTAGTTTATGTTTCTGTGAGTTTATAAAGTGACTTCTTTTAGAAAATGTCGGAATATATGCCTCAATGTGATAAGTGTTTTGGAATGGAATATATTTTTTTAAATTTGTAGTAAAAATGTAGAGTGAATGTTAATTTCCATCACACTAAATTTAAAAATTCGTTAATATGACAGTAAAGATTACTGATCTACATATAGGTCATTAGCAATGCCTACAGCTACAATAATAGTAAAGTTAATCTTTTATGAAAATTTACTTTTATATTTTTGTGGTTTGTCTCTGTACATACACAGAATATTGAAATTTGACATTGCTTCTTCTAGATTAGTATTGGGTTACTTGTTTCCTTTCCTTCAAATACGTTTGTAACTTTTTATGTATATGTTTTTATGTACAATGCTTTGCTTTTTTCAATAAATTATTTTATTACTGATAGTTTTGCGTGTAATTTTTATTTAATAGGCTTCTCTCTTCATGATGGTGCATGATCGAAAATGACGAAATTGAAGCAGAGGAAACTGTTCTTTTACTTCCGAAAAACGCCTGCGATGATCTGACTGATGAATATTCTAGAGATTGAAATTGTCGACGTCAACAACCTACCTCATTCGTATATGCCTTCCAAAGTGCAAGTGACTTGTAAACCTAGACTTGATGAAGTCTGGGACTCTGAAGATGAGATTCCTCTTATCGAAATAAAAAACAAATCCTCACTTTTCGCCAAGAAGGAAAAAACACATGTATTTTTCAAGAAGAATAGGATACTTATCTTGAAGAGAATCCAGCTACATTGTTTTTCAAGATTTTTGACTATGATCTGAATTTCACTGTAAATGAAACCAACAGATATGCGTCCCATAAAAATAAACTACAAACTGTTACTTTATCTGAAATAATAGTATATTACACCACAAGGGCCGAAAGTTGAATTTTCAGGGCATCATGACGAGCAGGACCGAGATTTCAAGTTTTGGCCCGTGTAGTGTATACGATTTTTCTTCATACCTCGGTCGAAAGTACGCACTTTCGTCCCTAATAGCAGGGACAAATATGTATATAATGTCAAATATTCACTTTGTGGATAATAATAACCTGAACATATCAGATAAGTTTGCTAAGGTTTGACCGTTTTTTGATTACCTCAACATAAAATTCATAGAATATGTCGGATCAGAACACAGTGTAGATGAGGCAATGGTTCCATAAAATGGTAGACATAGATGTAAACATACAGTACATTCATGATAAGCCAATGAAGATATGGTTATAAACTCTGGATGGGTACCACGTGATTGGGAGACACAAACTGGTTTAAACCATACCAGGGTGCATCCACAAAAATAAGTGTACAGTACAAAGAGCTCGGTGTGGAATCCTCTGTTATTCTGGCACATGCTGACAGACTAAGGGAAAAATGATAGCCATTGTATTCATTCATTTTCAGCTGCAATTTCATCTTTTTTTCTGCTCCTGTTTTGTTAGTGTTTGATATAAAAAAAATATGTCCGGTACTGGAACAATCTGCGAGAAGCGCATTCCAATAAGTCCGCTTCAGAATTCAAAAATGCTGAAGAAACAAATCAGGAGTGCGTATGATTACGCAAAAATTAGAGATTCTAATACTATTTTCTTCAAGTGGAATGATAATAACATTGTAACTTTCCGTTTCAATATCTGCGGATCAATTCGCAATGGGAGACTTTATTCACAAAAAGAGAAGAAGTACGTTCAAGTTGAACAACCACACATAATAAATTTGTACAATAAGAATATGGGTGACGTGGATCGTTGTGATCAAAGTATTAGTTTGTATAGGGTCGCTATCCGCGGTAAGAAACGGTACTTCTCCCTGATAAGTCAGTTTTGACATGGCTCTTCAAAATTATTAGCACATTCATAGATCAGGAGGGACTATGGATCAACTGAGTTTTAGAAGAAGTGTGCTAAAACAATTTTGGTCCAAAATAGAAAAATATACACCTATCAAACAGGAACGCATGTTTCAAATATTATGCATTTTGACAGACTAGATCATTACGTAATATCACAAGACAACCAAACCAGGTGTGCAGGGTGCCAACAAAACGTTGGACTACATGTTAAATGTTTTGCAAAATATTATGATATGTAACTTTTTGTCAGTACTTATGTCTGATGTCCTATAGTCCGTATAATAAATAAAAAAACAATAAAAACAAAAATAAAATATTTACTATTTATAGTTTTTTAACCCCTTCCTTGGACGTTTTTAATGAAAAAAAAATTAAAGTACACACAAACTTTTTAGGAATATCTGAGTTAGGTAGGTTTTGAAAATAAAACATCAACGAACCTCTCTGTTTAAAACTTGGTCTCCCCCGTTTAGCGATCGAGACCGGGCTTTTTTATGTCTGTTCTCAGATTTTAAACAAGACAAATTCAAATATACTCGCCTGGAACTTGTTGAGATCCAGCTCCGCAACCCTTCTTAGGAGTTTAAAAGTAGCCGTGGCCAAACTTAAACAGGGAACCGGAATTACCGGCGGCGACTGTCCCTCGACTCTGGGGGTGGAGGCGGGTGGCAGCAGGGACCCGTACAGCATGGAGACGCAGCCCAGCAGCTCGGTGCCGTGTAGGGTGCTAACCTGAAATTGAGAAAATTTGGATTAGGGAAAAATATTTTTTGTATAACCTTTTAATAACAGATTGTGAACATTTGAAAATATAAAAAATAGTTTTTGAAGGTTATCTAGTGATGTGCCAAATACTTTGGCACATTGAACTTGGCACTTTTTTCATTAATACTATTTCCGGATAATTTATTTAATTTTAGGTCATTATTAATGTCGCGTCAATGGAGCTCTTCCTAAAATATTTTTTTGTATGAAAGTACACGAGTGTCCCGATTTGTAGGTGTTCATAGCATTAGCATAGTAATAACACAAGCGAAGCTCCAGTATACATTTTTAAATACACTAATTTTAGGTAAATTGTAATGGGATGTCGAACAAGTTCTCGATGCAAAAAACCTTTCCTTTTCTGCCGTTGAAACAGCTGTTCACATGTGCAAAGACGTCAATCGACGTCTATCGGCTTCAATTCGTACGTCACTCAATGTCCTTGCTTTTGAATAATTTTTAATGCTTTCAAACGTTTCGAAAATGTTCCTTATGATTTTGCAGGTTCAATTAGCGTTTGACATGAGTTCTCATGAAGGAATACCGCCAATTCTTCAACATCAACATCATTAGTTTTGAAGCGTCTAAAGCAATCTCTGCATGTTGTTTGTGACAAAATATGGTCGCCGTAAGTTTCAGCAAGAATTCTTCAGCTGCAGATTTCTTTTGACTAAACTAGTAGGTACAGTAAAATTCTCCGCAAATCTTTTTCCAGCACGAAATTCAATATGTTTAACACTATGAAAAAAAGTAGTTTACATTTCGGCGAAATAACATACACTGAATTTCAAGTCTGCTTATAGTAATTGTTTATAGGTTCGTTAACCATCTTAAATTACACGCTTGCAGTTCTGGTAACGCCATCTGTTGGAAAACAGCGATAACCTATTCAACGTTCCTATATTTTTTATCTTAAATCTAATAACACATATGATAGTAACACACAATAACGTGTTTCTACAACTCTCAGAATGGTCCCGTACCCATACCATAGTACAATCATTTTTTTTATATAAAAAAATTACAAATATGTGGCAATAATATTTTCATTTAATCCAAGAATTTAATTATTTTCATAATTCTCTTTTAATATTTGCCAAAATAATTCCGAAAAAGCAAAAACTGCACTTGTGTACGATGAATTTACTTTATCTTTCAAAAAAATTATAGTTGAAAAAAAGTCATTCATTCTAAGGGGTGTAGATTAACGTGTGTAAGATTTATAATTTTGAGGAAGTTATAGTTTTCGGGTATTCCTATAATTCGGAACGCAGTAATTTGATGAGAATTAGGAAAATTTGTAACAATTTATTCGAATTAATACCTTTAAAATAACAAGATATATTCGTTACATTTTTATTTAAAAAATCAAAAAATACTACTATATTTTCCTATTTTTGTCTCTGTTTTATATTATGTCTACATGATCAAAGTATGTGCAAGTGTTATAAATATCTAAATTTCTCTCTGTGCATGCTATGCGTTCCATACTTTTCCATATAAACCCATTTATGAAAGCCTGAGGAGTATTTCCGAATATTCAATTTCAGTTTTAAAATATAATGCAAACTATGTCAATTATTTATGTATAAAATATGCTCTGTATTTCAGAAAGGAGCAGGAAGAAAAATAAAACGGGTTGTGTACATACCTACATACATACATACTATATATTGTTTTATATTGCTTCTAAATAAATGTAATTTTTATGTTGCTGTTTTAAATTAAATGACACATGTTTTAAAAATTAGACCTGCAAAAACAAAATACTAGTATATCGTTAAATTTAATGACAGAGAAAACAATTCTTAAATTGCAAAAATAATCGGTAGTTTTTGTCCAAAGTAATAGTATAGATATTGATAATACAAACAAGAAAAGTATTTCAGATATGTCAATTGCATATGCCATATAAATTTCAGAAAGAATCATAAAAATATTTAAAATTGGTTATGTTGCTGTTAAATATAAGTTTATTCACACTTTTAATTCATTCATCATTTTTACATGTGATAACTGTGAGGCATCAGTAATAAATTAGTAACTGAAATATATTACTAAAAAACATTTTATGCTTTCTGAAATATAAATTATGTTATAAGTCTCGATATACTACGGTTTATTTTGGTTACGTTTTGTATATTTTTATCGGTATTTTTTGCTTGTAATTATTATCTTTAATAAACAGTGTAATGGCATATACATATTGAATTTGATATAACAGTTTATTTTTTATCAACATCCGCAGAAACACAAAATACTAAACAAGGCAAGTACGACGTTTCTGAGGATGAAGACAAGAAAGAAACGTTTACTGACATTTTATGCTTCCTAAAATATGACTGTTTTCTGAAATTATTTAACATTTTCTGAAATGAAATTAATTGACATACGAAATCTGACTAACATGAAATTAAAATGAAATGAAATGATTTTGTAGTACATCTATCTATACAGTATAATCGATGCAAAGTAATAAATCATTGCCTGTCAAGGGATCCAGTGTAGTACGGTTTTAAGGGGTTTAGAAATTGAATAATTTCTTTATGCATTATGAAGGGATCACTTCCTTTATTTTCATAAACTATTTATTTTAAATGTAATTTATTATAAATCCAATTTGTTTTTCAAATTCCACATAGTGTTTCACTTAAATTCGGAACACCACCGTATTTAGGATGCCGTTGGCCGATTTCCAAAATTTTTTTATGTGATAGTACTACCTTTTGATATTATATTTTTTTTCTAAGGCCTACTATCATTAATAAAAGACCCTCAAAAATTATAAAAACACATTAGGCTTTTTTTTTAAGAAATAAATGGATAGCATTTTCGATTTGATCACACCTCAAAACACTAGATACAAAGTTTTATTATTACAGCTTTTACAGGGTGTTCACAAAATAGGTGCAAATTTAGAAAAATTTCTGAATACGATCCTACTATAGAAAAGGTTACCTAGCTCTAGTTATACGAGGTCTGTTCAGAAAATAAGCGACATGTTTGAATTACGTGCTAATGGAGATATTTAGTGACACGTGGTTGGCAGCATTGCGTTGCGCATAACCTCTTCTGTAACCACACGTTCTTGGATTGTTGATATCTCATTTAGTTTCCGTGATATGGTTGTTTGAGTGCAATGTGTTTAAGTGTTCGAAGTGGCGATTTTTGAAATGCACGATTTTCTGGAATTGCACTGGAATGCACCCTAAAATTTTACGTGGAACTTGGGAAAATTTCCACGGAAACATTTCAACTTTTGAAATAAGCTACCGGCGATGATGCTCTGGGTCGTACGCAATGTTACTAATGGTTTTCACGATTTGCAAGTTGTCGGTCAGTTGAAGATGATCCTCGAACAGGAAGACCTTCGGCTTTAAGTGATGACACCCAGGTTCAAAATGTCAAAGATCTGGTGCGTGCAAATCACCGATTGACTATCAGAGAAATTGCAGAAGAGGTTAGCACCTTAATTGGATCATACCATGAAATGTTGATGGAAAAATTGATCATGCATTGAGTTGCAGCAAAATGTGTTCCTCGATTGATGACCGAACTACAGAAAGAAAATTGAACGATACAATGACGATGAAACATTCATTCAAAGGATTATAACGACAGACTCAAGCTGGGTTTACGGCTACGACATTGAGACAAAAAAATAATAATCATCACAATGGATTGGCAAAGGATCTCCACGCCCCAAGAAAGCGCATCAGTCTCGATTCAATGTCAGAGTGATGCTCATTGTATTTTCGACTTTAATGGAATTGTGCATTTTGAATTCTTGTCTCAAGCTGAAACAGTGAAGTACTATCAAGGCATTTTACAACGGTTACGTGAAAAAATACGTAAAAAGAGACCAAAGTTGTGGTGAGGCAACTAATAGTTCTTGCAGCATGACAATGCGCCCGCACACTCAGCTTTGTCAATTCGTACCAAAAATCAGATTACTGTCCTCCCTCGCCCTCCTGACTCATCATACTTGGCTCCTAGCGATTTTTTCTTAGTTTCAAAATTAAATTCAGTGCTGAAAGGACACCCTTTTCAGACTTGATGACTGCAAAGTAAGTTCATCGCAGACTTTAAGGGCCATTTCAAATTGAAACTATCCAGGACTGCTTCGCGAAATGGAAAAACCGCTGGGAAAAGTGTGTGAATATTGGAGGAATAATATATGAAATGAATGATAAAGTTTAAAAAAATTAAATTAGGTTATTTTCTGAACAGACCTCGTAGGTTATGGAAAAATTTAATTGTTCATATTTTATTCAATTTTTGTTGTTTTGCTAGATTTCTTGTATAAGAAAATTTATTAGGCCTTATTTCTATTTTAAGTTATCATTTTATGTAAAAATACCTGTAATAAACAATAAACCTTCGTATGTGATTGAATTTCTTTTTTGCCTGTATACTGTTAAATTTTCCTGTTATGTATACTGTTATTTTCCATTTAGTTAGTATAATGAGAAAAATTTGTAACGGAATTATTAATATTAATCTATTTGTACTTACTAGGTGTGTAGGATCCAAATCCTCTGGACAATGGTCCGCTAAGGCAGCTAAAAATTCTAAGGCAGCGAGGAGGAACGAACATGCAGGCGGAATATCGTGAACAGGTTCTCGAACGGCTAGGCAACACCGGGCTAGTTGTTCCACGACACCAACACATACGGAAAAACTGTAACAAGAAAAATATTCTCTAGAGTCTTCACAATCTGGATCCTAGAAACTGTAAACAAGTATGATAGGTAAAATGTTTAAATACTGTTTTACTAGGTTTAATAAATTGGATAAAAAAAAATAAACAATAGAATTGGTTCAGATTTATTGACCAGTTTAGGTGATTTTTAGTACATGACATAAGAGTTACATTAGTTCTCGTTTACTGTCTCAGATAAATATGAGTATAATATGAGTATTGTATTTTTAATGATACATAAAAATATCGTATGTGATGCCAGTTATTCAGAGTTTTGTTTTACAACTTGGACAGAAAAACAGCGAAGAGGGACAATTTTGGTAGCAGGGCGCATGCTGCCAAGTAAATTAAACCGCGTTTTAGAAACCACTCACCACTACATGATTAGCACATTTCGTGATTTCTTTGCCAGGAAATTGATATAACTGAATCAGCAAAAAAATGCGTTTTTCAGAAATGCATCAATACCAAACGATGTTTTGCTAGCATCTTACATCATGGAGTCGTGAAATGTAAAAAGCATCACACCATCGCAGAAGAGCATATACATATACCGGCTACTTTAGATATGATGAACATCGTGGTTAATGAGTCTGATAGGAAACTGCTTTAAAATATGCTTTTGTCCAAAAAAAATAATTAGTGGTAGAATATAGCACCCCCATGACCAATGAATTGAAAAAATCAAAGGAAATGAATTAGTGTTGTAGCTGGATGACTCTACGGATAATAAGAATGCTCATTTGTACGCTGTGTTCATAACATTGCAGAATACCTTTTTTAAAAATATAATTGGAAGTGCGAAGGCTTATTAGCTTGTTGCTAGATACTTTTATATCTAAAAAACCTTTTGATCGGATTAAGTGAGATGATGTCAGTATTGATGGTGCTTGTTCCATGACTGTAGCTGTTATGGAGGATTAAAGCACTTATTTGAATCATACTCCAGTCGAATTAGAGTTTGAATGTGAAAAAATTATTAGTAGACATTTTATTGGACTTTATGACGGGGAAGGGTACGTATATAGAATGATAATATCAAAAAAGTAACTCGAAAGAAGTGACGCTTAGTTAGCAAATTGCAAATAAGTGGAAAATTTACGTGTTTTTTCACTTTTTACTACCCACAAAAATCTAGACGACCTATCGGAAAATTAGTCATTTTATATTGAGGGAATTAAATTACCTACAATTTAAGGTATCTAAAGTTATATTTCACCAATTTGTTAACTGCAAAATAAAGGTTGAACGAGGAAAAATCAGTTTTCGAAAATTGCGCATTATTATTGCAAAAAGCGATGGATATTGATGAAATTTATGGAAAAAACGGGCAATCCAATGACCAACATGTGTGCCAAAGGCCGAATCATCGGTATCAGTCAAGCGCGAGATTTCTGACATTCGTCAACGTTTCAAAATCGGTTAAAAAATCTCACGCGCGACGAACGCGTTCACGCGCGTGTGCGGGCCCGGCGCTCCTTCTCCCGAGTGCAGGCTATTCATTACTGTTAACTTTTAATTCTGCTAGCGCGTTTACTACATGAACTATCAATGTAAAACTTTCTGAAAATAAAAGTTTGACCCTTTCTTTGATTGTCTCTAAAATCCCGGCTCGATACGTCTAATAGTTAATTAAAAATTAACGTTATAAAAATAAGTTATATGTAATGCAAAAAAGCGAATTCTCGAGTGACTTTTGCCTGACCCTGGGAAAATTTGTTTATAACGCTGTTTTGCATGGGCAACTTAATTTCAACTTTTTGAAATTTTTCTTTTTCGATACCTTTCTTTGGAACAATTAGAACCTATATTTACGATAATCACTTCTAAAATTAACGTTTAATAATTAAACAATTAGTTGCAAAAAAACAAATGATATTAATTAATTAACAAATAGCTGGAGCAACAATTTCACGGTCAATTAAATCGGCGTTTGGCACACATATTAGACATTGGATTGACCGTCTTTTCCATAAATTCCATCAACATCAATTGCTTTTTGCAATAATAATGCACAACATAAAATAACTAATATTCCGACAGAACGTCTAGATTTTCGTGGGCAGTAGAAAAAGTTAAAAAGCACGTAAATTTGTCACTTATTTACAATTTACTAGTCCAGTGAGCCCAATTGTCTCCAGGACTAAGGGACACGCTAATGAAAATAATGAACTCGTTGTTTTCAATTCAAATTTTTGATACATCACATTAATTTCATACGGATGGCGTTTGACATCTCTCATTGGGTAACCAATGGTGTCAGCATTTAGAAAGATGCCTTTATTCGGGTTCTTTTCACCAGCAGTGACGGCCTCACACATCATCTACCGTTGATTTGTCTTTCAAGACCCGGCGATTACTCTTCCGCTGGAGCAAGTAACTAAGTAAACGAAATTTGGCGAAATGCAGCAAAGTACCATAAACTGATTAGTGTGATTTATGGCGGCTGCACTGTCCGCCACTTCTCGCTGTCTTCTGGCGGTGCGGCCATCTAGCTGAGTGTGTGTCACATCTGTGCGGTTAACTAGCCGATCTCTCGGTGCCAGCCCGTGTGCTAATCTGATAAGGTGTAAGTTATGTTGGCGTGCGTGGGAGCCCGGCCACATGCCACCTCTGGAATACTGGCCCCGGAAGCGGAACTCCGTTTCTTGGATACGAAGAAGACATACTACCAAAGTTTACAGAATATTTATTCTGTAAACTTTGATACTACGTTAGATTTTTGAAAAATATTTCTATTGCTAACTAATCACAAATAAAACGATGAGTTTCATTGCATCCAGTGTAGAATTGGTGCCACAGTAGGTAACAAGTATTTACCAAAATAATGAAAAATAACCCACCCAAATCATGATCTGTCGAAGAGTACCAAATGATTTAGTTTTATGCATAATCATACAGGGTGTTCTACAAGATCTATGTCAAACATTGACAGATGGTAGCTGGGTTAATTACAAACATTTTTTTTATATGAACGTAAGATTCGTTTTTGATTAAAAATTACACACATTTTAAAAAATATAATTTGATATTTCAATCAAGGTAACCTGATAAATAAAAATGATGGTTGTTATAACAATAATTATTTGTGTCATTTTGTTTATTCATTTGACACTTAGCGTTAAAGTGTTAAATAAAAAATGCTTTTATTTACAACTGAAGAGTATGCAGATATTGTCTTTGTATATGGATATTCCAATGGAAACACCAGACAAAGAGCCCGAGAATACCGACGAAGATACCCAAAATAGATATCAATCTGCCCACATAGTCTTTAGTGCATTATTTTGTAGACTTCCAGAGGAAGATAACCCCGCTCCAAAAAAGGCCATTCGTCCTACTGAAATGAATGTACAAAATAAAGAACATAATATAACAGATGTTGTCACTGACAACTCTTCAATTGGTGTTGGGCGTATAGCAAGTAATTTTCATTTATCACTGAATTTTGTATGGCGCGTATTGAACAGAAAAATATTACATCCGTTTCATTGTCAAAATGTACAAACGTTACATGCTGGAGATGCTCCTTGAAGATTAGAATTTTGTCGCTGGTTACTTCAATGACATGCACCAAATGATAGATTCATTTCGCTTGTCATGTGGTCTGATGAAGTGGCATAAAAAATAATCATAATGAAAATATCTTGGCGTTACAAAATCCGCATGCAATTAGATTTCAGCAATGTTTCAGTGTGAACGTTTGGGGTAGCATTTTCAACAATAATTTACTGCCTGTACATGTTTTAAATGATCGTTTACGTGCAGATCTGTATAGAACTTTCTTGGAAAACCTTGTTGATTTCATTGATGACGTAGGGCTTAATATTCTTCAAAATATGCGGTATCAGCAGGATGGTGCTGCACCACTACATAGAGTGAGACAAGTAACTGCTTGGTTAAATGATAGTTTCCCGATTGAATAGGTAGGTCAACAAGTCCAAATAGCATGGCCACCGTGTTCCCCAGATTTAAATCCTTCGGATTTTTATTTACGGGGACATATGAAGCAGTATGTCTACCATGTTGAAATCGCTACCCGTCAGCAGTTACTTGAAAGAATTCAGGACGCAGCTAACCAGATAAGAAATGATCCAAATCTCATCCGTTGAGTGACGGAACCTTTAGTTCGCCGATGTGTGGCTTGCATTTGAGCCGAGGGTGGATACTTTGAAAAATTTGTATACTCTTAAGATTTGTCAATTTGGTAGAAGATATAGATAGTGTATAGATAGTATGTTTAATGCAGTAAAATTCAAAATATTAATATTAAATCAAAGAGTCGTATTAGTATATTAAGCATTAAGAACGGTAAGGGTAAATTACCGTTCGAAGACAATGTTTTGAGGCGTCGCTTCGCTCAGCCTCCAATTTTGTCTGAGAACGGTATAACTCTAACGTTCGTGATGCTTATACTATTTTTTGTACGATCGCAATAAATGAAAACGAAATTATATATACGTATTTAATTTTTTATGTAACGTCAAAAATGAC